AGCAGCACCGACCTGTAATCAACGATGCAAAATGGGCACACGCTGGAAGTCATGGACTTCGATCGGGTCTCCGAGCGCTGTCCCGGTGCCGTGTGCCTCGAGGGCGTATCCCCACATCTAGACACTTTTCACAGACTCGAGAAGATTGCGTTGAGACAAACCATTTGGTGCCTACAATTACAAGGGCTAATTATATCATTCCATTTACTTGACACAGACTTGCGAACAGTGAAGCTCGCACTTGCCCCATCTGAACGGACCGCACATCCCAGCACTTGGGCTCGAGTCTCCTCAAAATTACTGCCGAGTAGGAAAAAACTACCGCCCTCACCTCGTGCATATCCATCTGCCCGGGCATCAAAGGTGTGACATCAACCAAAATTTGACAACATCCCAGCAGTAGTCAACACTGTGGAGTCTTTGACCGACAAAAAAGTTGACCCTGAGGCAACCGCCCAAAAGCTAGAGGTATGAACCCAAGCAGCTGCTAAATCAACAGCAACCAGCATCGATGAACACGCGGTGTCTATGCACATGCAGGGCCCAGTGAGACCATGTTAGTACGAAATACGTCCTGCTGCTGTCGATAAAGCCTCGGACGTCAAAGAATACGAACCCCCTTACGTTTACAATGAAGATCAAGAGAGAACTCCAGACATGCCTACGTACACGCCGGTAGCTTATGTACACAAACTCGCAGACCGTTTGAGAGCTTAAGCCGCCATATCTAGTACCGCAAGGAAGCGAGGATCTGCGGACAGGGCTTCCAAATAAGACATGCTAGAAGGGACAGTGTAGGAGACATGGTGCAGCTAAAATTGGCCGTATCCGGAGGGAAATACAGGAGAACATCCCCAACGCAAAAATGGTGCCACGCGAGATGCATCGAGTTTGCAGATCAAAAGCATGTCAAGATCTGACGGCTTGTGGACTTGCAGCTTAGCTACAAAACAGATTGACCGACACTCACAAAGCGTCGAACGGGGCACTTTCTGCCTCACTTTGGGGCATCCGCCCTGAACAAGA